TTATGAGGCTCTTAGTGACTCTTGGAAGATAAGTGTGTTTGTCTTCCTCCTGTAAATTTTCTACTGATGATTAATGAAAGTGTTATTGATCAAAAAAAAATGTAGCAGAAAACTTCAAAACACTCAATCATGCACTGGGTGTACAGCAAAGCATTTAAATGCACAATTTGTACTCTTAAGTCTGGAAATAATTACACATGTATTAAACTGTAACCCATGTTTGAATGAATTCATGCATGCACATGTATTCCCACAGGTACAAAGCAAAAGCATTCTTCCAGAAAAAAGGAGAAGTACAACGATGAAACAAACTTAACACTTGCTGCACCTAGAAATTTGGTATATAAGCATTTCATTACTAAAACTTCACTAACAAAAACTCAAAACTTTCTGGACAGATTACATTTTTTATGAGACAGGTCAATATACGGAAACATCCCATGGATTTGTAGAATCTGTACAACACCCCAGAAGTGTACTTAATGCTAAAATTACAGATAACAAAATAAAACACATAATATTAAAAAGAAGAAAACGGACATAGACCTCGATTTATTTGGATACCTTGGTTATGGTGGATCCAAGGTGGCAATGGGCCCCTACAAGCTTCAGCTCATTAGGATGTGATTTCACAGCATCAAGAAACCATAGCAACTTCTCGTTTCTAATACCAAACTTTGAATTTTTGTTCCCAGTGGCAACATAAGGATGGACCTACAAAAGTTTTAGCAATAAATAATCATATAGAATGCATAACAATTAGTAAAGTAACAAAGTATTTATATAACAATAAAGAAATCTTATTACTAACCAAGTTTGCTGCTTTTTCTCCATCTCTCAGAAATTTACTCACACTTTAAATACATGGTTCAAGAACCTTCTAACCATGGTTTTAAAAAAGTGATAAGGGCTCAACAACATGCCAAAATCCAAGACATATAGAAATTATGTATTCAATTGTTTTTCCTTTTGAAAACTATTATCTACCCAATTAAAAGCCCATATAATGTGGCCATTAAGTATTTCCTCACACTCATGCTACAGGCTGCTTTCAGCTCAGCCAAGTGTGGATGTTTGTTGGGCTTGGTTTTGGAAAGCTCAGGCTCCACCCAAAGTGGCACAAGGAATTCTTTTTTTGGACAGCAGCTAGAAACAAGGCACTTACTATGGATCATCTTTTGAATAGAGGAATGTCCATTGAGAATTCCTGCAGGTTATGCAGTTTGGGTCCGGAATCTATTACCCACCTGTTTGTTCATTGCACGTTCACTCATTCAGTCTGGGTCCATTTCTTCTAGGTCTTTAATACAAGCTGGGTGACACCCCCTGTTTCTAGCTGGTCCAGAATTTGTTACCCACCTGTTTGTTCATTGCACTTTTTTTTGATAAATGTTTGTTTATTGCACTTTCACTCATTCAGTCTGGGTCCATTTCTTCAAGCTCTTTAATAAAAGCTGGGTGACACCCCCTGATTTGGTTTCACTTATTGCTTCCTGGCCTAGAGCAGGGTTTTCAGTGAGGGGGAAAAATTCTTCAAAAGTTTCTTCCACTAGCACTTTGCTGGGGGTGTGGAAGGAGAGGAACAGTCAAGTATTTGAAAACAGGGCTGCCCCTATTGAAGCTTTGATCAACAAGATTGAGTAGTTGATGGTCCGATGGGCACAGGTTTTAAAGGTGTTTGAAGATGTATAACAGTTTTTTGAACAGTTGGAGTGCTTTAATTTTTCGTACAGCATCACAGAATGTATAGCTGGGGCTTATTGGTATACTTGTAAAGCTCTTTTTTTATAAGTAATAGTTGTATTATTAAGATTCAAAAAGATAGATACATAGTGAAGGATTCCCACAGAGAGGCACGAGATGTAGATGCAAAAACAAAAAATTACAACTGAGCCCAAAATAACTGATTCTTATGCAACCCTTGCTTAACTAAACAATCGACCAACCCATTTGCGGATATCCTTTCCCATTGGTAGCTAACTATCACATTTGTGGTTAGCCACTTGAATCTTTGCAAATCGCCCCTATAGGACCAATCCACTGTCTCTGGTTCCTTAAGCCACCCAATTACCACTTTTACCATTTTAGAATCACCTTCTATTAGCAATCTCTGCTCCCTGTAACACTGCTTGGACTTCCGTGTTTATCACACCCCCCACTCCAATGGGACCAGAAAATAATGCAATAACCTGACCTTCTACATTTCTGAACACTCCCCCGATATCAGAAGGCCCAGGATTGCCTAGACTACAGACATATGCCTATTTAAAACACCTTTCATCATTATTAATGTCCTCATTCCCACAAATTTTAATTTTTAGATTTTAACTTGGGTATGACTCAGAAAAATCAAATAAGGATAACATTAACAAAAAGCAACAAGTTTCAGTGCACTCTGAGATCTGAAAGGCTCTTCCTGTTTGAGCTTGTGTTTCCCAACCCTTTACCATGGCACTGGACTTGGGCACCTAAACTGCCTCCAGGGTATACATTTCATGCGGATTGTTTTGCTTTCTTAGCCAAAAAAGAAAAGGAAAATAAAAAGAAAAAAGGCAGGTTGGTACACTGGGATAAGATTTTGACCATTGATCACCTTATTTCTTCTAGTTTAGATGCTCAAAGCCTTTGCTTTCTTTACTGCTTCCACAAAGGATTGCTACCCAATATCCCTACTGTCTCTTACATTATGCCTTCCCATTAAAAATCTGGTAGAATTTTTTGAAATCTGTTTGTTGCAGCACATGATTGATGCTTGGCCACTTAGGGGGCATGACTTATAGCAAGAAAGGTATTAAGGTATCCCTATAGAATTTATCTCCATACCATATCTGTTGGTCCAAATGAAAGGAAAGAAACAAGAGGTTTTTTGAAAACAAAAGGGATTCGGACTTAAAGCCAGATTTGTAGATGAAGTGGAATAGCGTATTTATTTCCAGGCTTCTATCTTAGTGTACCCATGAATTGAACTTCAACAAATTTTATAATGACGAATACAGTATTTCCGTTTGACTAATAGCTGTATACAGTGTATGTGGGTTGGTATTAATTAATGCCTTTTTGCACGGAGAGTTCTCTACACCTACCAGAACATAATATTTTTTTTTGAGAAGGTGAAGTATTGTATAAACAAAAAATATCCACTATAGACCATGTACACCCATTTGTGTATAGAACTTTACAACTTCTGTTAGCAAGATATTAACATATCAAAGAAGAGGAAAAAAGAGAATGAGATAGGGTTGATTCGTTAAATGGAAGATTGTGTGGAGTCATTATCGTATTCAAGAAATATGAGAGAAAGACTCCCCAATGGAAATCTTTTTCTTGTGGTTCCTTGAATGGCTATTTCTTTGATGGGTTCTCTAGGCAATGACAAGGTATGCATTTTAGTATTTCCTTTCTTTTTTCTTTTTTTCTCTTTTTGAAAAGGTAAAATAAAATTGTATTAATCAAAAGGAGAAATATAAGTATATCAGATCACTGTATAAGCTTCCGTACTATTTTCTTTCTAGAAGAGAGAGAGGAGAGGGAGGAGAGAAGAGAGAAGAGAGAAGAGAGAAGAGAGAAGAGAGAAGAGAGAAACGAAGAGAAGAGGAGAGGAAGAAAAGTGTTTGAGAGTCAAAAACATAAGTTGGCGGCTCCCAGCTTCCTATTTGTATTAACATGATGTAAAATAAAAGAAAAGATAAATTACAAACATGCCCCCAGCAGCCCACCCTAATAATAGAACTTAAACAAGGAAAAGAACATGCTGACAGCATCCTAGACTGACAACACTCTAACAGCATAAATAAAAAACTAATTCTAATAACACTCCCCCTCAAGTTGGGCTGAATATATCTATCATGCCCAACTTGTCACACAACTCATTATGCTGCAAGTATGGAAGCCCTTTTGTGAAAACATTGGCTAGTTGCTCCTTGGAGTTGACATGAGTACAAATTTCTCCCTTTTCCAGTTTTTTCTCTTATAATGTGCTTGTCCACTTCGATGTACTTGGTCCTATCATGTAGGACAGAATTGCTAGCAATATTTATAGCTGCCTTATTGTCACGATAAAGAGACATAGGATTGTGAACAGTTATCCCAAGTTCCCCTAGAAAATTCTTCAGCCAAAGTGCTTCAGCAACCCCATGTGCCATAGCCCTATACTCCGCTTCAGCACTTGACCTTGCAAGTACACTTTGTTTTTTGCTTCTCCATGTCACTAGATTTCCTCCCACAAATGTGCAGTATCCACTTGTGGACTTTCTATCATCCACAACACCTACCCAATCAGCATTTATATAGACTTCCACCTTCAGATGATTATGTTTACTGAATAGCAACACTGTTCCTGGATAATTCTTCAAATACCTAAGAATCCTCTCTACTGCCTCCATGTGTGGTCTCTTAGGGGAATGCATGAATTGGGTCAAGACCCCAACTGAATAAGCAATGTCTGGACGTGTCATGGACAAATAAAGCAACGTTCCCACTAACCTTTGAAACTGTTTCACATCTTTCAAAGGTTCACCATCACAATCACCTAGTTTATGATCTACATCCATAGGAGCATCTGCTGGCTTTGCTCCTAACTTTCTTGTGTCTTGTAACAGATCGAGGACATACTTCCTTTGAGAAATAAAGATGCCCCTTTTTGAGCGGGCAACTTCAATTCCAAGAAAGTACTTTAGTGGACCTAGATCTTTCACTTCAAATTTGGAAGCTAAGAACCCCTTCAGCCTTCGTATTTTTGAGCTCCAGTTTTCTTGTAATGATGATATCATCCACATACACTATCAGTACAGCAACCTGTTCCTGACATCTCTTCACAAAGAGAGTGTGGTCAGACTAACATTGTTTGAATTCTATTTGTTGGACCACCATATGAAATTTACTGAACCACGCCCTAGGAGATTGTTTTAAACCATAGAGAGGCTTTCTTAGCTTGCACACCTTATTTTCACTTCCTTTGGCACAGAACCCTAGGGGTTGAACCATGTACACCTCCTCCTCCAAGTCACCATTTAAGAAGGAATTCTTTATATTCAACTGATGTAATTCCCAATCAAGGGTTGCAATTAATGATAGGAGAACCTGAATTGAGTTCATCTTAGCTACTGGAGCAAACGTCTCATAATAGTCAACACCATAGACTTGAGTGTACCATTTTGCTACCAACCTTGCTTTGTACCTTTCAACAGTCCCATCCGCCTTGTGTTTCACTGTAAACACCCACTTGCACCCTATTGGGTCCTTCCCCCTTGGAAGATCCACCAACTCCCAAGTCAAATTCTTATGGAGGGCATTAATATCCTCCTTCATAGCATCTGTCCATTCAGGGTATTTTAAAGCGTCTGCAACATTTCTGGGTATGGGGATGTTACCAATTGCAGATAGGAAAGCACGATAAGAGGGGGAAATGTGGTCATAGGAGACATACTGGGTAATGGGGTGTTTGGTAGTGCATGACCTGACTCCCTTTCTTTGAGCAATAGGGAATGTCAAGGTCATCCACAACTGAAGTGGGAGTTGGGGTATCAACATGTGGGATAGTACCTAGTTCATTTGGACTTACCTCCTGGAGTCTGAAGGTGTCGGTTGCTCAGTGTTTGGTGGCTCCACATCTTTGTCACATTGTTGATCTCTACGGCATGTACGTTGGAAGACACAAAAAGGAGTAGGATCTGGAATAGAAGAGAGACTTACTCTCCCCCTGAGGAAAAGTAGGCAAGAATGGTTCAGACTCAAAAAATGAGACATCCATAAAGACAGAACTTATGATCAATGGGATCAAAGCATTGGTAACCCTTTTGAGTAGAGGGATACCACAGAAAGATACATTGAATAGACCGAGGGTCCCACTTAACACAGGACGAAGATAAATCATGGATAAAAGCACGATAACCAAACACTCTCATGAGAATGGAAAACAAAGGAGATTTGGGGAAACAACAACTGATGAGGGGCCTTGTAGTTCAGCACTCTGGAAGGCATGCAAATGATGACATAAGCAGCAGTCAATACAACATCTATCCAAAAACGTTTTGGTACATTCATGTGTAACATCATCCCTCATGCAACCTCAATGAGGTGTCTGCTCTTTCCCTCTACAACACCATTGTGTTGCAATGTTCTTGCACATGAGCTCCTATAAATGGATCCATGGGAAGCAAAGAACTCATTGAGCTCACCATGGAAATACTCCTTTGCATTATCTAATTGAAAATTTAGAATCTCAACATGAAACCGTGTAAACACCATCCTCTGGAAATCCTGCAAAACCTTTGGAACTTCATCTCTACTATGCATGGGAAATACCCATGTATAACGGGAGAAATCATCAATCAATGTGATAAAGTACTTATACCCGCCCCACGAAGTTATAGTAGTAAGCCCCTACACATCAGAATACACAATATGGAAAGGGAAACTTGATCTTTTATTACTTGAATGAAATGTTGTTCTACACTGCTTGCTCAACTGACATGTTTGACACTAGAAATCTGACACTGAACATGACTTAAATAAATGAGAAAACAAAGACTTCATTATTTCAAAAGACACATGACCTAACCGATTATGCCACAAAAAAATGACTCTTATTTGACTGACTACGACTTTGAAGATGACATCGAGAAACCAGCCTTGTTGTCGAGAGTGTAGAAACCATCCACTAAGCTTCCTCTACTAATCGTCCTCCCAGAAGTTAGATCCTAAAAAGTACATGAACCAGGAAAAAAGGTTACGCTACAGTTTAAAGAGTTTGTGATACTACTAATGGAAAGCAGATTGATGGGAAGTTGAGGAACATGCAAAACATTATTCAAGTTAATTCCATGAGGAAGGGATATTGATCATTGGCCTGCAATGGAGGAGAATGATCCATCTGCAAGTCTCACCTTATCCCTTCCTGACAAAAGGTTATAAGACTGAAAAAGGTTTGGCTTACCGATCATATGGTTAGAGGCCCTTGAGTCAATGCTCCAGGGGGAATCAGTGGCAATGGATACATGGAAGGCAAAGGCTGCATTACCTGATGTAGGTGCAAATGAAGTAGAAGGGGTACCAGTGACTAAATTGTCCATCTGGCGCAAGGCCCTATCATATGATTCCAAATGATTTCAAAAGGAATTCATGATATCTTCCTTGGGGTTAGAACCAGTGAAGTACTCCCGAGCAGTACCAGTCAACACTCCACCAAACTGAGTATCTTGGGTTGCCACATTATGTGTTGTATTACGCTTCTTTTAACCCTGCACCTTACCCTGTTCTTGGTTCTTTACAGCCCACTTTGGCCTCCCATGGAGCTTCCAACATCTGTCCCGTATATGTCTTGAACATCAGCAATGGCTATAGAACAACTTGTTCTCATCATCAACCTTCTTGGAGTCATTTTTCTTTCCCATATTGTTACCACCCATTGCAGCTAATGCCACCTTATTGCTCCCCCTCAATTGTAACCATCACATTCCGCCTACTTTCCTCAGATTGAACCAGGGCACCTCTTGAACTAAAGGCAACTCTTTACTCCCTAAATCTGAACTCTAAGAGGTTCATATACGGGGTTTGGTCCCAACAAGAAAGCAAAAACCCGCTGCTAAGAAACCAACTTCTTATAAGCTTTAGCATCATCATCATGTTTCCATTCTATAGCTTGATAGTGATCTAACTGCTTCCACATTGAAGTAAGGGCTGAATAATAGGCTGACAAACTACGGTTCCCCTATTTGCAGGTTGAAGATTCAACTTGTAACTGGTAAATCTTGGCATAGTGCCTCTGCTCAGAATAAGTGGTTTTGGCCAATTCCCATATTTCACTAGGTGTCTGCCCACATAAAGTTCTTCTTCACATCAGGTACCATGCTTGCCAGAAGCCAAGACATCACCACTACTGTTCTCTTAGTCCCACCTATCATGTTCAGCTGTCCCATTCTTGGGTTGTTTCACTCTTCCATTTATACACCCAGCTTTTCCCCTGGCTGTTACGTAAAGTTTTACACCTTTAGCCCACTCCAAGTAGTTCAAGCCATTCAAAGGGGTAATTGGCATAGGAAATATCATATTTTCAGCTCCCATACCAGCTGTACCACTGGTTGATATACAAATGAGGCAGAATCATCATTTTCCATTGACAGAAAAAAAAAGGCTACAAGACAAAACTTAAACCACAGGTGCACAAGACTAATCCCCACTCAACCACTAACTCTCACAGTCACAATTAGGGCACTAAACACCTAGAAATCTGCTTCTGAAACAAAGAACCCACGGATGAAATCTAATGGCAGCAACTAAACAATTCAAAAAAAAGTCCAAAAACACTACTGAAATCCTCTAGCAATAATCAAACCATCCAAGAACAGTTCAAACCATCCAAGGAATTGGACTTCAACCAAACAGTCCAGAAATAACAAACTATACTGCTGAAATCCTCTAGAAGCACTCAAACCATCCAGGAATAGTCCAAAAACTTGGACTTCAGTTATCATTCGTCTATGCACAAAACACATCAACCAATCACAGCACATACCTGTGACAAAAGGGAATCACACATCCCTGTACAGCACCTGTACAAAGGTGCAGTTCCAAGACTGGGCCTTCACAGCATCAGCCAAACAAAAGAGAGCCTTCACAGCATCGGCCCCCTCCTACTAGGGTTACCTTGGTGCTACGACCAAGGAAGAACCCAGAACAAACAGCAACAGTTGGTTCTGATCAGTCCGATTAGGGTTTCTTGCCTTCACTGTCCAAGAGTCAGAAAACTGGGTGGAAGGAATGTGATTCAGAGGAGAAAAGAGATTCCTATCGCCCAGAGTTATGCTCTGATACCATATTTTCTTTCTAGAAGAGAGAGAGGAGAGAAAGGAGAGAAGAGAGAAGAGAGAAACGAAGAGGAGAGGAGAGGAAGAAAAGTGTTTGAGAGTCAAAAACATAAGCTGGCGGCTCCCAGCTTCCTATTTGTATTAACATGATGTAAAATAAAAGAAAAGAGAAATTACAAACATGCAACTTTAAGGATCCTCAAAGTGTACTGCCACACAAGAGGCCATAACATCCCCCTTGAAGAGCAAATTGGAATTCAGTCACCCTCTAAGGTCATCTACAATTAAGTTTATCACCCTTTCCTTTCTTTTTCTATTTTACTGTTTTTAACTGATAGTATTTAGATATTTAGTTCTTCGTATGATCTTCCATTTTTTCAGCTTGTTCTCTTGGTAATACACTGCCACTTACCTTTTTTGTCCTTTTTGATATATTTTTCTTTGTAAATTTCAGAAATAGGAAAAGAAAAGCATCTAATTTGGGGTTTAAACAATACATGTTGACATGAATATATGACTAAATATACATGAATAAATATTTTAAATCCTATAAATATGAACAGATATACACATATATTTATTTATTTAAATAACTAATATTTGAACTTATGCTTACTAAAAAGGTTTTGCACGTAAAATGATGGAAATATATATTTAAATAACCAATAACAAAATAGAACACCTAACAGTTATTGGTTATCAGAGCAATATACCTGAGGATCTACATCTGGATTGATCCGAAGTAACACATTAACCTTCTTCCCAGCTATTCTTGCTGCTAATACAATATTGTTCAAGTCAAATTCACTATCAACATTAACAAATACTCCTTCTTGGGCAGCTAGCACAAGGTCCTCCAAGAGCTTTCCATTTCCATTAAATATACACCTAATCTTCAAAATATTAATGTAATAAATTAATCCCAATGAAACATTGCACTTGAACAAGTAGTAAACAATTACATCTAGAAGCAAGAACAGCATGATGTAACTAATTGATGAGAAAATAAAATAGTCTGGAGCTACCAATGAATATCACTGGCATGATATAAATGAATTCTTGAGGTGGAAAGGCTAAAATGTGAGGTGGATTATGATAAAAGGAGTGTTGGAAGAAAAGAGAGGAAGAAGTGGTGAGTAGTTTGTTTAGGGGGTATTTTGTCGCATTTGCCATGAAATTGATAAGCTGGAATGTAAGAGGGTTAGGAAGCTCAAGAAAAAGAGGAGTGATTAGGGATCTGTTGAGAAGAGAAAAACCAGACATTGGGTTGATTCAAGAATCTAAGTTGTCTGAGTTAGATAGGAAATGGGTAAGAAGTATATGGTCAGCAAGAGACATAAGTTGGGCATACGCACAATCTTTAGGAGCTTTAGGGGGAATTGTAACTTTGTGGAAAAACGCAGAGTTGGAGTGTACTGAGGAGTTAATTGGGATGTATTCAGTGTCCATAAAGTTGAAGAGGAGGGTGGATGATTAGGAATGGGTTTTAACTAATGTGTATGGACCCACCTCTTATAAGGAAAGGGAGGGACTTTGGGAGGAATTAGCAGCAGTGAGAGGTCTATGGGATGGTCCCTAGTGTTTGGGGGGAGATTTTAATGTCATAAGATTTTTGAGTGAATCAAACAACTCAAATCACCGGGTTACAACGATTATGAGGAAGTTTACCCTCTTCATAGAGACCTTTGAGTTACGGGACTTACCTATTCAGAGGGCAAATTATACTTGGTCAAATTTTCAAGAGGTTCCCACTTGCTGTAAGTTAGACGGATTCCTATTAACAACTGATTGGGAAGTGGCATGGTGGGGATTAGTAGTTACAGCACTGCCAAGATCTGTTTCAGACTATTGCCTAATAAGTTTGACCCAAGAGAGGATGGGGGTGGCCCCTGCGCTTTCAGATTTGAGAATATGTGGCTATTAAACCCTAAGTTCTTACCAAAGGTGAAGGAATGGTGGGAGGAAGATCAAGTGGATTTTAAATGGAAGGGTTATAGATTCTATAAGAAATTGCAATTGCTGAAAGCAAGAATTAAGGTGTGGAATAAAGAGGCTTTTGGAAAGATTGAAGAAAGAAAACAGGAAATTCTCAGTAGAATAGAGGAGCTAGATGGTGAGGAAGCTGAGAGAAGTTTGAGTTCAGAAAAGAGGAAAGAGAGATGGGGGTTGAAAAAGGATCTGGAAGACATTCTAAGAAAAGAGGAGGTTACTTGGACACAAAAATCTAGATGTCAATGGCTCAGGGAAGGGGTTCCATATGTTGGCAAATGGGAGAAAGAGGAAAAATTCAGTGTTGAAATTGGAATGGAATGGGCAAGTGTTGACAAGAGATGAGGACATAGCCCAAGCCTTTGTGAATCATTTCAAAACACTCTATGAGGGCCCGAGGAGTTCAAGAGAAGACTTAGAGGGTATGGATTGGAGGGTTGGAAATAGAGAGTTGTTGGATTCCTTGGAAAAGAAGTTTGAGGTTCAGGAAGTGAAAAATGCAATCTTCTCGTTGGAGAGATCTAAAGCCCCAGGACCTGATGGTTTTACAATGTCTTTCTATCAAGATTGTTGGGAGATAATTGGGGGTGACTTGATGGAGGTTTTTGATGAGTTCTATGAGAGGGGCAAATTTAACTCAGGTGCAAATGCAACTTTCATCGCTTTGATACCAAAGAAAGTGGATCCAAAAAAAAGATACCAAAGAAAGTGGATGCAATCCAGCCGAAGGACTTTAGGCCCATAAGTCTGATAGGAAGAATGTACAAAATCATTTCCAAGGTTTTAGCCCTAAGAATAAAATATGCTCTTCCCTCGATGATTTCACCAAATCAAGGGGCTTTTGTGTTTGGGAGACAAATAATGGATCAAATTCTAAATGTAGGGTTTAGAAGAAAAAGGCAAAAGGGGTTGATTTGCAAGTTGGACTTAGAAAAGGCTTATGACATAGTGGACTAGGAGTTTCTGTTGGACATTCTTAAGTGTAGGGGTTTCTGAGAAAGATGGTGTAAATGGGTGAAGGGTTGCATTTCTTCATGTCACTTTTCAATTCTGGTAAATGGAGTAGCAAGAGATTTTTCTCTTGCCAAAAGGGGCCATAGACAAGGAGATCTCTATCCCCCTTCCTTTTTACTCTGGCAATTGATGTGTTGAGTGAATTGATCATAAGGGAAGATGCCAACAATATGTTTAGAGGCTAGAGAGTTGGAAGGGATGAAGTGGTGGTTACTCACCTACAATTTGCAGATGATATTATCCTGTTTTGTGAAGGGAAAACAGAAGAACTTACGAACCTAAAAAGGATAGTCCATAAATTTTGAAAGGATCTCCAACCTTAAGATTAATTGGGGCAAGAGTTGTGGCAGGAGTAAATTTAGGAAGTGAAGAGGTAATTTGGCTAGCTAGACTATTGGGGTGTGAAGTAGGGGATTGGCCATTACAATATTTGGGACTACCATTGGGAGGAAATCCTAATATAAATAGTTTCTGGTATCTAGTGATTGAGAGATTTACAAAGAGACTTGCGAATTAGAAGAGAAACTACATTTCTTTGGGAGGTAGGATAACACTAATAAAGTCAACTTGGGCTAACTTACCAGTGTACTTCCTATCTACCTTTAGAATACCAGTGAAAGTGACAAACCAGCTAGAGAAGATTATGAGAAACTTCCTTTGGGAACCAATAGACACCAAAAAAGACCACCTAGTGAAGTGGGAGGTGGTTTCTAGAAGTAGAGATGAAGGGGGCCTAGGAATAGGAAATATTAGGCTAAGAAACACAGCATTATTGGGGAAATGGTTATAGAGATTGTCGTTGGAACAGGACAGGCTTTGGCATAGAGTGATTATTAGCATTCATGGATTGGCAGACAATGGTTGGGATGCAAAGTCAACCCTAGGGCTTCCTGATGCTCTCCCTGGAAAGCTATTCATGGTATTTTACCTTCCATCCTTCCTTACTTCAAATTTGATGATTGTGCAAGAAATAAAGTGTTGTTTTGGGAAGATTTTTGGGTTGCAGACATTCCCCTTAGTGAAAGGTTCCCTTCTATTTATTCACTATCAAAAAATAAAAGAAAAGTGATCTCTTCAATTTTTACTGATAATTCTTGGGACCTGGGTCTGAGGAGGGGTCTAAGGGAGTCGGAAATGGCAATTATGGATGAATTAATTAACCTTCTACGGTCAATCTACCTGGATCGATCTTGTTTAGACAGTAGAATTTGCAAACCTTCCCCATCTAGCATGTTCACTTGTTCCTCTTTTGATGTCCTCATTCAATCATCAAACCCTACAAGGAACTTTCCTTCAAAGGAGGTTTGGTGTCAACCTGTACCCCAAAAATTTGGTCTTTTTGTTGGGAGGTGGTTCTCCAAAAAATCAATACTCTAGATATGTTGCAAAGAAAAAGGCCAAATTTATGCCTATCACCCCATGTTTGTAGCCTCTGCTTGGGCTCTGGTGAGACGATCATACACCTATTAATTTCTTGTCCATTTGTGTTCTTTATTTGGGCCTAGTTCTTTTCTTTCTTTAGTTGCAAGTGGACACCTCCCCCAGACGTGGCAAGCCTTTTTGACCTAAGCTTTTTCAGGCAACCGAAGAGATGTGGAAGATTAATGTGGAGAGCCACAAGAGCAACTATCTTATGGTCAGTTTGGGAAGAAAGGAACAATAGGATCTTTAAAGGAGTGGAAAAATCCAAGGAGGAAATTATAGAAAGGATAATCATTATGACTATTCAATGGTTGAAAACTTTGGATTTGTTTAAAGACTTCTCAGTTGAAGACATTTATAGGAATTGGGAAGTGGTGGCATCTACAACTTCCATAAAACCTATTGTGTAGGAATTGTGGTCCCCACCAACACAACAAAGAGTGAAATTGAACTTTGATGGGAGTTCTAGAGGTAACTCAGGCCCTTCGGGTATAGGAGTATTCAGAGATGAAAATGGCAGAATTGTGGCTATGTTTTCAGGACCAATAGGAGTGAGGGACTCATTGAGAGCGGAGGTGATGGCCTTGCTTCAAGGTGTAAGATATGCCAAACAGTTGGGGTTACACCAAATTGAGATAGAGGGAGACTTTAAATTGTTGATTGAGTGGCTGCAATCTAGTAAGTTGGGAGCCTGGAATTATAGACAGCCCATAAGGGAAATCCTCAACAACACAAGGGAGATTGGTGCGTGCTTCAAATGGACAAGGAGATCAGCTAATGGTTTAACTGACACGTTGGCTAAACAAGGGATTGTGAGAGAGAGAATGTCCTGGGCAGTTCTGCAAGAAATATTATTGGGGGCTCAACACCTGTTTAAGGGTTGACAGATGTACTTAATTCTAGAAAGTTATTCTTAAGTTGTATTAATGAAGTTACCGTTTCCAATCAAAAAAATTCTTGAGAACTTAACTATTAAGCATCAATGATTGAAAAAATGCCATGATCCTTTAGGCTGTGTTTGGTTTGACAGAAAATAAGAGAGAAACAATAAGTTGAGGGAAAGTTCTTAACAATCTTAAACAGCAATTTGAGTGAAAGCTCTTAACAAGTTTTGCATCTCAACTTTCTATTCCTCTCTTATTTCCTATCAAACCAAACATAGCCTTAAGTAACTATGGAAAGTTGGTGAGTGTAAGACCTTAGTTGCCGGGGTAAGCTTGTCCATTATTCTACCCCAGCAGTGGTGACATGACCAGTTTGGAAAGAAACAAACAGAAGAATTTTTTTAGGGAAAGCACTCCCAGCCCCAGGAAGAGGAAATCTGGAAGGATGAAGTAGGAAGAATTCTGTACTGCATCTTGGGGTACATAGGATTCAAAGATATTCCCATGCAGACTATTCCTCTCCGCTCATTCTGCCTTTGGCTTGTAATCAGGTCTATGACCTTGTGGTTGCATCTTTGG